TGACCACCATCAAAAAGATAGTGCCCTTACATGTAATCACTTCGTCAATGACCTCTGTTGTGGAGCAGCATCAAAACGCCAAATACCATGTTATTATAACTGCCCATTAGCGCTAACATACATTCACGTTAACGTAATGCTCACGGAATAGCATTAGCACGTTGACGACATCGCGCGTTTTGGGTTTTTGCACCGCGTGGGACAAGGGCGCTTTTGCGGCCGTCACACCTCACACCCGTAAATTTCGAACGATAACCTTGGGAAGCTTCAAAGGTACGAAACCATTTCAGCAATATTCAATGCGTAGAAAGTAATCGAAGATAGTAGCGAAATTCCGATCAAAAAACGTGAAATGGTAAAGAAAATTGGAATTTAAGTCCTTTTCTCTGTAGTGGATGCCAAAACTATTTTCGATGTGGATGTCAAGTGAAACATATATCTTTCTATCCCTTTAAGTTTGTATTTACTTTCACTACCTTTTCTCACTGACATGTTCATGAGAATAGGAAGAAAACGAGGGATGAACCGAGCTGCCAATTCCGCTGTGCTTAAAAAACTTCTGCTAAACTGGAGCATATTTGATCATACCGTGACCCATGTCGTTTACAGTTATGTTATGTTGTAATCCATAGAATAGAGACAAGCAAATTGGGAAGAATCCCCGCATACGCTAGAAAAAGGGATGACAAGGGTGAGACGCGCCCGCGTCTCAATGTCCAACGAGGTGCGCAATGTATGTCGTCAATGTGTTAACAACACTCAGCTCTGTCGCTGTTGTCCAGCGCCCTCACACTCACAAGTTAAGAGATTAAAGTAAAATAAAGGGTAATTTAAAGGAGATAATTGACAATAGCGTTCCGACTTTTTTATCCGTTCCAGCTCTTCACGTTCACAGCACAGTATTTTATGCTAAGAGAGTTCGGTATGACAGGGAGAACAATCTTCAAAATTTGTACCGACCGTTGTTATGTTAGGACAAGCCTGTGTAAGAGGCCTAGGTACAATCTCGAATTCGTTTGAGAGTTGAGAATTTGTGTGAGAGGACAACTAAGTATTCATACTACGAGATTTTGTACTCGATTTTTCGCATATCAGTATGGTGCGCTGGAACTCAAGGCATATCCCACTCCCATGAGGTCTTGTTATTTCGTCTGAATGTGGTGTGAGGAATAGGCGCAGAGCGGACTACCAGCGAAGGACAATACAAAAGAAATCGCTAAAAGAACTGAAAGCAGCAGTATCCATTTATTTTGCGCTAATCAGTACCACCCTAAAACAACACCGAAAATCGAGGAGACAACACGGCAGCAAACAAGACATGGAGTCCCTCTGCTTCAGCTGTTACGTTGACTACAACTGTAGCAGGCTTTGATGCGAGTCACAGTAGTAACTCCCATGCAGCTTATTTTTATTCATTTCAGTTTTCAATTCATCTTTTCCAACTTGGGAACGGCACGCTTTCAACTCATGTAAAAATCTTCTTATAGGAAAGATATTTATCTAGCTTGGTCATCTAGTTTGCCAAATGAACATAGTGGGTCACTAAGTCCGTTCGGAAGATTTCTTCAAGCAAATGTCGCAGACCATTGAGAAGATGCTTCAAACTACAGAGCTATTTCTGCCCACTTGTAAAGAGATGGCAATAAAGGCGAAATAATGAGCAATTCTGTTGACTTTCACAGCAATATAAGCAAAGCCAGAGAAAGTAATCAGAGACTGCTTGTAGCTACCAATACATCTTGTTCTCTCATAACAGTAGTAAAGTTAAATTGAATCCCGGTTGCCAAGGAGCTGGTACACGTGTCAGAGTTGCTGAGACAAAGACAAGCTCTCAGAGAAATCCCAACGACAATGTTCGAGAATTGTCGCCGTCATACGGTAAGTGCGTGGCGCTTGCACTTTGTTCAATTACCAACGTCATCGAGAAGTGTTCCACTTGATGGTAACCACCGAACGTTCTAGTAGCTGGAGCAAATGGAGAAATATTGTAACAGCTTCCACATCCACAAAGGAACATGTGTGCCGATTATGTGAATGAGAACTTTCTCGGGGTAAAAATACAACTAATAGGAGTAGTGTATTGTATGTACAATACTTGGTCCTAAATATGATGATATTCCAAAAGCAGTGGAGGCTTCGGACAGTGTGGAGTCTGGAGCAGAGTTCAAAATAAAATAACTCAACTCAAAATATTGTGAATCGTATCAAGAGCCTCTGAAATCTACCTTTTGCATCCAGCCGCGAGAAGCGGGTCTACTGCAAAGCTACAACACAAGTAAGGACAGCCCCCACAAAAGGTAAGGTTCCCTGCCGAAAATGATTGACCGGTTGCATCTAGCGGTTGCCACTGTTTGTAACTATTATTTTCTATCTATCACCTATTGATGAAAGTAACAATTATCACATTCTCGGAGCCGTGTCACTAGAAGTGTGGAGACTGTGACGCAGAATTCCCTGGTTGCCAGATACAAAGGTATACTATTGCGAAAGTATGACACAAGTTAAATGACGTGAACAGAGAAGAATTGCTTTCCTACTCTACGACTAGACAACTGATTGCTTATAAATGGTAGTTGTAATCAGGGTGAAAATCGTGTCGAGGACGTGGTCGCAGAAGTACGACCCCCCTGAAATCGAGATCCTGGCACGACCCCCTAAAACAGAGCAAATTAATTCAATTAATTAATCAAAAAAAATCCTGCAAAATAATGTTGTGGACGCCTCATCTTGTCATCTATGCACTGTCTTTCATCGCTGCACACTTTTGTGACTGAAATATCGACTCGAGGAAAGAGGCATTAACTTTGTGTGACCTCAAAGGCAGGTTCGTTCAGAAATGCACAGAAATCCTGAAGGCACGGGTTGCGATTGAATCTTGATTTCTGCTCAAGTACAGGGGGGGGGGGCAAAAAAAGAGTCACTTTGCCATGGCGCATATCATCAAACTTTTCGTCGCAAAGGATGCCGCTGTTATTGGGAGTTATACGGCAAATATTCCTTAGATGTCCCCCATAAGCAGAATCAGGCCCACCTTCGCTGCCTTCACCGTCTCCAGAATATGACGTCATCTGTCATCACCGTCGAGCTCAAGGAGGCCTACCATAATCGCTCCATTCTGAAGCTGCTACATAATTTCTTCAATCGGATAACTGGTGAATGGCTTCTTAGAGACACTAGCTCTGACTATGCAAAATGGCTTTTGACCAGCGTTTCAGAGACGTCGTAATCGTCTATGGTTTCTCGACGACCTCGTTGAGCTCGTACCGTGAACCATGTTTCCGTGGGAAAATCTTCTGATGTCGTCGGTGTAGAAGGCCCTATGTAATTTTTTGATAGAATAGAATGTGCTCTTCAATATGCAATTGAGCTCATTCGGTTTGGTTTTGGCAAAGTGTAATTAATTCTGTTTTGAATGTGAGTAGGAGTGACTCTTTTTTTTTGGCCCCCTGTATATCACCATTGCCGAGTGTATCGATCAACGGCCGATTCAACGGCAGCTGCGGCGCGATTTGTCACTGGGTCAGATTTGCTGAAATTCGAAAAAACCGTCGAAATCTACACCCTCGATGAAAAGGTTCCATTCCTCCATTTCCCAACCTTTTGAACAGCACGCGGTATAGATATAGATTTGCTACTATCAGGCAGTATTGGAATTGCTATGAAAGCCTTCCATTCGAAGAGATATAGTCTCTCAAAATCGTCGAGGGAGCGTCGAGGATGCTGAAATTTTCATGCGAGTTTTTGCCACTTAAAAGGCAATATCTCTCTAATTTTGCAAGATCTTGAAAAGCGAAGACAGTTTTGGAAAGCGGAAGGTTTGCGCTTTCTAAAGTATGTTTAGCTTCCTTCTACATTCTAGTTGAGGAGATATTTGCGTCGAGGATCTATCGAGGATGATTCTCGGCCGCTGAAAATCCGCTCCCTTCTTCACCATTGCAAGTGTAATTCGTTGGCAACGCTCGAAATGTGTCTAGAATACATTCTTCCAACATAAGCAATAAGAAAAGGGGCAATCGTCATCATCCGATTTTGTCTGGGTATAGGCCATGCATCCGACCTCCACTCAAGTTGTAGAATCTATTGAAAGGTTTTATGCATATGATGATGATCGTAACCCCTATAACCCAAGGCTTAGGCATCCAATGTAGGCTGCGTTCTCTGAAAAACTTTGAAAACAAGTCGGCCCACCGAGTTGGCGGTCGCCCTTTCGGTCTCGTTTTATTTCTTGGGAGCCACTCTGTCACGCGTAGACTCCATCGGTCATCTGTGCGGCGAAGTAAATGACCGGCCCATCGATGCTTCAATTGTGCCATGTATGCAAGCGGATCTTTCAGGCGTGATCGCTCCTTCAATTCTGAGCTACGTATGCTTTGCTGCCATTGCTGTCGTCGGCTAATCTTCAGAAACATCTTTCTAATGCACGATGAGCAGTTTGCATGGCCCTGGCGATTGTCTTGTTGTTAGGCCAAGTTTCGGTCGCGTAGCACATTGCTGGCAATACTGAAGTGTTGAATATGGAGGCTTTTAGTTCCGGGTCATTTACTTGATCTGTTACTTCGCGAATCGATCCGAAAGCTGTCCATGCTGCTCGTTTTCTGCGGTGTATTTCAGAAACGATGTTGTTTGTCATGTTCAGCTCTTTTCCCAGATATACGTAGGATTCCACTCTTTGTAGAGCTATTCCTGCCAATTTTACTTCTCCCATATCACTCCACTGGTTCACCATCATTTGCGTTTTGGACATATTCATTTCCAATCCAATCTTCAGACCTCCACATTGAGTTCGTTGATCATCTCTTCCATTTCAGCTGTGTTGGTGGAGACTAAAACGATATCATCAGCGAAACGGAGGTTATTGATTCTTTTTCCATCGATGGGGTATCCTTTGTCTTCCCAGTTAAGGTTAGACATAGCATACTGTAGTGCGGCCGTGAACAATTTCGGAGATATCGTGTCTCCTTGCCTTACTCCTTTTTCGATATCGTGTCTCCTTGCCTTACTCCTTTTTCGATTGGGATCTTCAACTTACGGTCGAACAGCTGTATAGTTGTTGATGTGTTCGAAAAACACTGCTCGAGTAAATGGATATATGCAGGGAGAACTCCAGCCTGCGTGAGGGCATTCAGGACAGCGTTGATCTCCACTGAGTCGAATGCCTTTCTGTAATCA